ATGAAAGCCGCTGATTCGGAATTTGATGCTAAAACTGTTGAATTGTGCGCATTTCTGCTCGAATACTTAAAAGAATATTATTTTTCGGGCATTTCCGAAATAGATTTCATGCGATGAGAAAACCTGTGACTGAGCAAATGTGTCTTTGATTGGAGAACAAAAAACGCAATCATCTGTCTGGTGAATAGCTTAAACAAGAATGGAATACTGATCAGGTAGAACTCACCAAATGGACCTCGTGGAGGTAGTGGTTTCGGTTTGTCGAATGCGGCGCCTAGTCCTGAAATTAATCACTGTATCGAACAGACAGACAGTATGGTTTTATGGCTAGTGCAGTTTAGGAATGATTGAATTACACATCAGAGCAACGGCCCTCTTCGAGAGAGTTTACTCGTATCGTTCTAGTTGTTCATGATTTACAGTTGCATGATTTATTCATCAAGTTCTTTGAATTTACAATGTCGAACGCATTTGTTCATCTCAAATCCTATGTGCATTTATCTATCAGTCAACAGTCAGTCGTTCACTGGCTGCCTTTAAGGAAAGACACATTATGTACCGTATTTTCCGCACTATAGGGCGCGCAGGATTATGAGGCGCATTGTTAATGAATGCTCTATTTTCGATCTTGTTTCTCATATAAAGCGCACCGGACTGTAAGGTACATTAAGGGAAAAACAAAGCAGTCAAATGAGTCTCTCAGTCAAACTTCATTGAACGCATTCACAATAACTCTCAACATTGTTCAAACGTAACCAGAATTAATCCATATGTAAGGCGCTCGCTCCGCTTCAGGTTATAAGGCGCAATGTCGTTTTTTGAAAAAANGGGGGGCGCGCAGGATTATGAGGCGCATTGTCATTAAATAGTCTACACGGTAATCGTTTTCTTTATAAAAGTGGTGGAAGTAGTGTTGTGATTCAGGGGATCAACGTGATTTCAGTTGAGCTCAATGTTTGCATATAACAATAGTGATACTAACCTTGTTTTGCATTACAGAGATTTCCTCTGCATGTTCGGCATATTTTTCCGTACATATTAGCAATATCGCATGTTGTCGTGCAACCTTTTTTTAATCCTTAAATATTTTGTCATTTTTATTTATCATCAACGTCTGATAATCGTAGATATTCGGCGATGGAATTTTATTGCACTTATTGCATAGTTTGGCAGTTTTGAATTTGAAACTGCTGCCAACAAACACTTCATTTGTAGGTGTCATAGTGGAATTGTAGACATGCATGAAGTAGTGTGACTGTATGATGGAAAATAGAAACCGTTGCTTTTTTGATCATATGAATCTGCTACGACGAAGCATTCATTGTTTGGTGGACACAGCTGTGGAGCAGGATCTGCGCATTCCTTTTCACTATCGCATACGTAGCATCGTAGTGTTGATCCTAAAATGATGACAGTCATTTCTTCAACAAACTCATTGAATAGTGAGATTTTAACGTGAACAGTTACTATTAATATTATTATTATGACTCGTGGAAAGGCTGAATTTAGTAATTAAGTGATTATTACTTTCTCGCAGTTAGATGAAGAGCTCGTACGAGTGATAAATGTCAGCTTTTTATCATTATTTTCAAATTTATGATAGCTTGCTTGCATCGTTTTCTCTGCGTACTCCGAAATATTCGTGAGTCTGGTTNTGAAGCATTTCAAATTAAAACTTACCGAATTTAAAGAAGATAGCGAAAGTGGTGAGTAGTTGTAGAAGAAGCATAGTGATCAAATGGTGTTTGTTCGATGTTGATGTGGGGTGTGTGATGTCGATTTGTTGACGCGATGTGTGAACGTAGCTGTTTGTGCGTTTGTGTTTTATAAAGTGGGTATGGGTGTCAATCAGAAGAATGAGTCAATGATTAATCTGTTCGATAATTGAATAACTGCATGAATGTGTACGCGTGTGTTGTATTGGTGACGAGTTTGTTCCGTTCAAAGTTTCTTGTTTTTTTTTTTTGGTAATGTGACTTGTTTGCTGACAACTTCAACTGAATACAGTGAGTTAATTGAGTTTTTTTTCTCAACCCGAAACGTTTTTTCTTCAACATTTCCATTCGTCAACGCGTTAATTTTATGCTAACAAAACACAACTTCAGTATACACTAACAATAGCTGTGTAAATATTCAAAAGTTGAGTCAGCTGATAACAGCA